ACATGTATTCCGTTACTCCCCAACACTGCTTAGAGCCACATCTCATTCCTATCATTTCTGGAATGTGTGCTTAGTTATTATTCTAAGTTGACTAGGGACTCGATGTTGTACAAAAATAAAATACAGAAAAGGTCTTGAGCCACTCCTTATTTATTTTCTAGAAAAATGGGAAACAGATGCAGCAGTTTATTGAAACGTGAAAATATACATGCAAATACAGTACGAAAGGCAAAAACAGAGTTTGTGAAATTCTAACGATCATGAAAGTGAATATTTGGTATGAGCAGCTTTATTATTAGGCAGCTTTCTTGTCATTTCTTCTCATTTTCTTTTCAGCATGATACTTTTTTGCATTCATGATTTCATAAATTTTGACAAGATCCCAAACACCAAAATTTCAAATTTGGATTTATCACTCCATTAGACCCGTTGTCACTGATTTTCAGTGATTTACAGTTCTTGTATAATTTTGCATACCTTAGCCTTTTCTCACTGTTTCCCTTCCTTTAAGACACACAAGCTACACTTCAACTGAGGCCATTCCTGATGAGGCTTTAGTAAACAGTGGCTCGATCAACTACAGGTTCAGATGCATCTCTAAGGTCCTGTGTCAGTGCTTTCCTGGATTTCTTTCCTTATATTGTTTTAGGTGTCCTCCGTTTTTCTAGATTCCTCAGTTTTTTTTAAGGACACACTGCACATAATGCCAAGCTATGCCAAGTTTCCAGCTAATAGCTTTTTGGGAAAACTGTGTTACCTTTGATATCCTTCACAGACTCTACTAAAGAAATGGGAACAAATTGTGTTTTTATGACAGGCTGCAAGTAACAAAGTGTTTAAAGATACAATTTAAAATTGGTTCTTTGCTAAGTTGTCTGGCTAAAGGAGTGAGCCAGACAACAAGGAGTGCCATTAGGTGCCAGTTTTTATGCTCGAATGACTCATGGGTCAGTGCTAAGTGGCTTAATAAAAAAAAATCCCCACAACATTAATCTGAAAATAGTCAGTTACAAAAACTGATGAGTGAAAAATGAGTGGAAAGTATTTATAAAACCTTGAAAAAGATCAGAGAACTATTACTCAAGACCAGTGGAAAATATAAGAAATAAATTTAGATGTGTTTTATAATCACTTTGTTGTTTGACTCAATTAAAGTCACACTACACAAACCAAGCCTCCGTATTTATTTGTGTTTGGATGTTCTGAGCAGACAGCTGGGACTTCCACTCAGCCTGACCCCTAGTGGTTGAACTATTTCTCAAGACCACTTTTAAAAAATAAGAAATAAAGTCTGTCTCCTTATAAGCAAAATATAAAGAAATGAGGTTTGACTCAGTGCTTTTGCACAATATTATACTAAGAAATCACAAGAAAAAAATAGCAGCTGCACAGCTAGTGATTGAATTTGTCTCATATTCAATTCTTAATTGAATTTATCACTTGAATAATCAGTCCTGTAAATACCTCCTGTGATCTATTTACAGCCTCTCATCCACAGTTTATCAGTCTGGCAGACCAACATGACAGACTTTGGCTACACGCTACCATGTTCTGCTTTAAACTCTACAGTTTCCTGTCCACAAAAAGGGTTTTTAAACTATATGTACACAGCATTTAATTCAGTTATGGCTCCCTGGCAACTGTATGACCCCCCTTGTTATTGCTGGAACCAGAAACTAACATCGTGATGGTCCTTGTCAGATTAGCCCAATCAATGACACACTGACCAGAGGACAGCGGAAAAAGAGAAAGAGGAAGAGGAGGAGTAGAAGGAGAACTGAGGGATGCGTGTGGATGTGTGTTTGTTGAGGGAGGGGGGCAGCTCCTCCCATAATTAAGTTAGTGTGCTGCGCTGGAGGTCCATGTTTACGGGGCAGGCGAAGGAGTTTCCTTCACTCTGTGGACAGCTCTGTGGAGACTGCAGGAGAAGCTCTCTCACTCTCTTCTGTCTCTGGTTATTTCTGCAACTCATCCCTCACTGCGCTGCGACTGGCTGACCTACACGAGGACAAGGCGGGGGGGGGAAGAAGCAGCAGCAACACCTGCCTAACCCTTCACTGCTGCCGCCATCCCTCCGTCCGTCCCCGCTTCCTGCCCAGTCTTGGACCTCGTCTCTGCCGATCTCTCCGCCACAACCGCTGCCATCATGTGCGACTGTTTCCACCTGGCCTTTCCCAACTGGCACGCTGCCTCCTCTGGGACAAGTGGGTATCGTTATCTTTACGCTCTCTGCTCTCCTCCCCCCCTTGTTTTTTCTCCGTATGACTTTGCCCGTTCTCCCCAGGGCAATTCGCAGATTGAGCAGCAGGGTTCAGTAGTGCAGTGGGAGAGATTTTGTTTGCGTGCGTCTGTGTGATGGAGAGAGGCAGTGAGCGAGTGTATGGCGGTTGGTGCTGATGCTGAGCTGTGTTGCTGACCTGCAGTGAGTGCTGGGTGTGTCTGCAGAGTGCAGGGGAGTGTTTGAAGATGTCATCATCGAGAGGATGTCAGGCAGCTCTGCGTTTCTCTCCTGCTCTGTTTGAAGCGCAGCCTGAAAGGCAAACAGACCTGATATTTTTACCGTGGCAGTTCAGCAAATCAGGGTTAAAAATAGAAACATGACAACTTAGACTGAAATAAAAAAACAAACAAACACTGAAATGTGGCCCAAAAAAACATGCCCAAAATTCCCCGGAATATCTGTGATGAAAAATGAATCCGACAGCTCTGTATAATTTAATCTTGCATCCTTTTTCCTACTAAGTTTGTTCCCATTTGGAGTTTCAGATATTCAGGGTCAGGAGAAAACAATAAGCACGCTTATCTGAAGTTTCTATACACCTAATTATGAAAAATGTGTTTATAATAAACAGGAAATCTGTGTTTTTCATTAGTGGACATCCATGATTACACGGTGAAGACATTCCTTACTGTCTTGAAAAATGATGAGTTAAGGGGCTCAGCTGATGCTTGCTGTAAAAAGGAGCATGAAACATGACATTACTGCTCCCCCTTTCTATTTCCCACAGTTCTCCTCATTTACTTCCATCTCTACTCTGAATTAAATCTCCCTCAAAATGATGCGAGGTTTGTTTTGCTTTGAGAAGCTTCAGGCAACGCTCAAGGTCAAAGAGAGAGACAGAAATAAAAAAAGAGAGACAGGGAGGAAGTTATCCGGATAAGTGGCTGATCAACAAGACACTGGAAGCCAAAACGAACGATCCTGATCCATTATGGAGTATCACACCTGACATTTTTAATATTTGGCTAAATACAACAGTCACATTCTACCTCACATCAGATCATTCAATCAGCAACACCACTCAGTGATCCTGTCTGAAGTGGAAGTTATCTCGTGCTCACTGTTGTATATAGTATATGTATATAGCACAGGTGTGGACTGTTCCCATGTTTATTTTTGTTTAACAGCATGTTGTGGGAACACGGGCAGATTAGGATGCAAATTCCAGAGCTGTGACAAAACTCGCTGCAAGTTTGAAGCAGATTAATAGATTGAAAGCATGCGCTTTGGAGTCTCATGTTAATATAATCCATGCAGAAAATCTAATTCAGCTTTTTTTCCCTCCCTTGACTAAAATCCTATTACAATTTGGATCCCGGCAAACTGCTTCCAACTAAAAGGAGCTTGTGTCTGACTGTTGCACAGGAAAAAAACAAACAAAAACGGAGCAGAATCCAAATCCACGAGCACAAATAATGAGCTGTATTACTTTATATTAGTTTAGTGAAGACTTCAGAGAGCTTTTAAAACAGGAAACACAAAGTAGAGCAGAGGGTGGTTATGTAAGAGATTAGCTGAGGACAGGACAACACAACACGATGCAGTTAGGATTTGCAATGCAATTCTACAGTTTAGATTTTTGTTTAAGATCTTATTTGAATCTTTACCCACATAAACAAGGATATGTAGGTTTATATGCCATTGCATTGCATTATTTAGTTTAAGTGCTCAGACATCAGTGTTGCTTGAAAGCAGACACGCCGGCTTGAGCCCGCAGATATCAGCCACACCCAAATCCAGCACCAAATCATGCAGGTTCTGCACCACAAACGGCTTACTCATCTATGGAGGCTGCTTTGAATCTGATAAATATAATAGAAAGTCAGATTGAAACATTAGGCTTTGCTGTCCTCTAATTTCTGATAAGTCAAACAAAAAACAAAAACTGTGCTCTGTGATTTTATTTTGACATATGTGGGAAAGGAGTTTCTAAGAGTGCAGTGTCTGTAGCAGAGGCGGGAATAAAGAACATCCACCTTAAGTGGTGAATAACATAAGGAATGTATCAATCTGTCATTTCAGTCCCCCCGTAGTGTACAATGCACAAACACATCGCACACCATCCACAGTGAGTTACAGTTTTAACTGTGGATAAAAATCCAGATCGGAAATACTCCACAACACCATCACTGTGTTTCTGTCTAATAACAGGACCAGGCTCTAGCCATGCTGGCACCTAAAGGCTGTATATTAAGGATGTAAGTTAAGGATGTGTATAAAGCTTACTTCTAGTGTAACACATGATGCTCACAAAGACAATTAGATTATGATGCTAAGCAAGCATCCTCTGTTTACCATCCCAGTTTTACATGTTTGTGTGCTATCATCTGTTGATTAGCACACAGTCAAACTGCAGTCAAGGTTAAAAGGCTGTCCTTCTGTTAGCTGTTCAGAAAGTATCAGACCTAAACTGGTTGCCCGATGATGGATGGCACTAGATGGAAACTTCAGGTACTGCAAAACTTAAAATTAGCTGTGCCACAGCAATGAGAGCTCTTTTATGTCTTTACCCGAAAATCTGTTTACAGAGGCTTCAGTGATTAATGGATCTTTAATGTGTTTGTGCTTAAGTTTGTTTACAGAAAAGACTCAATAAGAACTTATCAAGAATCTACTTAGTAACTCTTTTAACTACTTTAACTAATTCTTCTGATTTGTCAGTTTTTTTTCTTTTTTTTAACCCACAGCTCTGACCAAACTGAACTTACACCTTGCAGTTTAATACTTATCACTGTTATTCATTTATTTACAATTTCTACCTGCGTAATGTGCTCTTACATAATTACAGAATTGTTTTTTTGTATACATCATGCAGTGTCAATAAACAAATCTTAATCTTCAGGACCTATTTTGTAACTCTTCGATGATTAGCAATGAAACGTAAATTAAGTTTATTAAAGTACAAATGGTCTACATAGAGTTAGTGCATTACATAGTCTCAAAATCTCCTTTTTTCTCCGAGTAACATGCAAAGAGTTAAATCTCTGAACCAAAGTTGTCTTGGGGGTTCTTGGAAAACAATATAGAGTGACACAACTTGAGGAAAGGTGTGACTGCGACCTTAAAGTGTCCCGCCTCCTTTGTCCGTCTTAGGCTAAAGAAATCATTTTATCCACTTTAGCAGCCACACTCACACCAGGAATGGTTAAGAGCAGTTTGGAGCTTTTCTTACTGACACAGTTTACGTTCAGGAGTTCAGCAAACAGCAGCTTAAGGTAGGTCAGCTGCTTGCTGTAACATAATGGGAAAATCTTTACTATTTTTGCCAGTCAGACCTGGTCTGAAAGAGAAGGATGTTGATGAGTGCATGAGAAGGATTCTTCTCTTTCACTCGTTATTTCAGGTAATGGTGTAGGCGGCTGTAAGGACTCTCACATTTTTATGTTTTTTAACATGTCTAGACTGTGTTGTGCTCACTCACTGAGTTCACAGAGAAAATCTTTTGAGATGAATAGATATATGTTGATAAATGTCCTTTTATGCTATTTCTAATCACGTGAATCCACAATGACTTTATCAGACGTGAAAAAAAGCTGAGCTGGATTGTCTTTTCATTGCTCTTAAGCTGTCTTGAAGGCTTAACCTTGAGGCAGCAACACATCCTGATGCAGTAAGAAGTTTTTAAACCATCACTCTCTTGCCCGAACTTTCTTCTAATGCACTTACACAGGCTGTGAGAGCTCTTCACATGACATACATTACTGTAATGCAGCGGGTGGGGTGTCAGTGTGATGGTGAGTTGAGAAACTATATGGATCTACCATATACACAGGCCAAATGTTGCACATATTTCTGTTATTTTAAGTCATTCTGTTTTTCATTGATGGCTTTAAAAGCAAACTTACTATAATAATTTGTTTTTGCTTCAAATAAGACTTTTGCTTGTAAATTACGATGTGGTGTTTGCACTAATGAAGTTGACACTTTCATTATGGTTTTTTGAGCTCCAAATTTAGCCACAGTTTAGTGTTTTTTGAGTTTTTGTCCTGCAACATGTCAGCTATGCCCAAATAAAACACCTAAAGCAGCTGCGCATAGACCAGCATTATTCCTGCAATGAAAATGATTTGTTTGTCCATGTAGCATTAATTTATTCAACTTTAAGTTCTACTGACAGTACTTTTTTATCAGTATTTACATTTTTTAGTCAACAATACTATAAAACTACAGAAATCATACTGCATGCCTGTGTAATTCTCCACTCGACAAGCCTTGTTTTAAATGTACAACATCCCTGAAACAAAGGAACTCTCAAAATAACGTTAACGAATGGTTTATTTAAAAAGGAATTAACTTGAATAGAGCAGGTAATAATTATAATCTTGTTAACTTGATTAATTTGGAGTCAGACTTTCCCTTTTTGGCAGCCTTGATGGGCTAAGCTGAGAGGTTGCAAAGTCCAATCTGTGGGTCAATACAGTGGATCACTTAACAGAGGCAGCAGCTCCCTGGAGGGAATTATTGCCAGGAAGAACTCTAAATAGTCTAATCGTCGGCTCCAGAGTCTCCGAGCCTCAAAACAACTGCCAGGGGTCAGACCGGGAGGAAGTCTTATGCTTTGTTTTTGTGCAAATCATTTCTGTGTTTTTTTAATTCATACAACAAAAGGATTATAAAACACAAGTGTGAGCTACTTTTACATTGTGTTGTTTTCATACTAATAGAGGACAGAGGACAAAAGACAGTGATCCCTCTTGAATCATCCCTATTTTTTTTTTATTTTTCACTTTATGTCTTTATATCTGAACATTTTCAGGGGCATGTCTTTTAATTGTCTTTTAACATGTCTTTTAAAGCCACTTAACACTGACCTATGACTTATTCAATTATGAAAAGGGACCCAACTCAAGAGATGAACCAGTGTCTTGATACTTAGCAAAGAATCAGTTCTAAATCCTATCTTTAGGCACTTTGTTACAAAAACACATCATGTTTTTCTGACAGAGAGCTGACCTGTCAGAGGATATTTCAAGCTATGTTTAAGAGTAAAGGTGGTCATACCAAATATTGAGGTTCATGTGCATTAGGATTGTACACACATCTGTTTTTTCCTTTTATACTGTATTTCCAATATATGTTTATACAAGTTTCAATGGATCTC